TCTATCTATCTATCTATCTATCTATCTATCTATCTATCTATCTATCTATCTATCTATCTATCTATCTATCTATCTATCTATCTATCTATCTATCTATCTGTGTGTGCGTGTGTGTCTCTGTGTGTGTTCCTACATGACCAAAAACAAGTTAATTTTTATTCATTTCCATGTACTACATTGCTGTGAGTTCTCTGTATTTTTATTTGTTTGCATTTTTAATTGATTTTTATGAAAATAAATTCAACTTATAATTCAACATTGCTCTTCTGGAGTTGTTTGCTTGTTTAGTAATCCAACCTTGGTCTCAAGCTTTAAGAAACTTTGTTCTAATACAACCAGTCAGCTTATGTTTGGAGTCTTACATTGGATGTAGTTATTGTTGGATCTTATAGTTAAAGTTATTTTAAAACAGATTTCACTTACCGTAAATAGATCCCATAAGCCAATAAATAAATAAAATAATTAAATAAATATCTGTGAAAGTAACTAATTCCTCTTCTTATTTTTTTGCATTAAGAAAATGTTATTAATAGAACCAATAAAAGCAACTATAATTTAAAAAATGTATTAATCACACATATTGTAAAACATATTTTAAAAATATCCATATGTTAAAATAAGAAACAGATTAGGACACAGTAATGGTAAAAAGGAAGCACACCTTGTTCCAATTCTAAAGTTGTCGTGTCAGGATATAAAAACAATAATCTGATTCTTAGCAGATCTTTAAATGAGGAAAACCTGAGATGAACAGCAAAAGATGATATGACACCATTTTATGATTTGTTAAAAAAAAAAAAACTGAGCCAAAATGTGAATTGTGTATGAAAAACTAAATACAACCTTACTGCTTCCATAGGAATTAAGAGGCTAAGTAGCAGGCAGGTGCTGATAATCATAATGATTGATAATCAAATGTGTGTGAGTACATATGATCAGCAGATGTTTTGCCAGTTTTCTAGCCTGAAGTCTTTTAGGTGTGTGTGTGTGTGTGTGTGTGTGTGTGTGTGTGTGTGTGTGTTTGCACAAGGCCAAGGATGAAAAATATCAGCAATGATCTCAAAGAACCAATTGTTGCTTCCCATGAATCTGGGAAGGGTTAAAGGGCCATTTCCAAATGATTTGAAGTCCATCACTCTACAGAGAGAAAGATTATTCACAAATGGAAAATATTCAACGCAGTTCTTCCCAGGAGTGAATGTCCCAGGAAATTCAACTCAAGGTCAAAGCAAAGATAAAAAGAAAAAAACCCAAGAGCTAAATCTCAGACTCTATAGGCCTCAGTTAGCATGTTGAATGTTAGAGTTCATAACAGTACAATTTAAAAAAAGACTGAGCAAGTTTACATGGCAGCACAGCTTAGGTTTTGGACAAACAAGACCAGAGTGGAGCTGTTTGGAAATGTTTGACAACACTGTGTTTGGCAAAAATCAAACATAACATATCAGCACAAACACCTCATACCAACTGTCAAGCATGGTGGGGGAGTGGTGATTATTTGGACTTGGTTTGCATCCATGGGACCTGAGTACTGTGCAGTCACTGATGACTGAACGCCTCTGTATACCAAAGTAGTCTAAAGTCAAATGTAAAGTCTGTTTGACAGCTTAAGCTTGGGCCAAATTTGGTCGTGCAACAAGACAATGATCCCAAGCACAGCAGAAAATCTACATGAAGAAGAAAAAGAATCAAGTTGCAATGGCTGAGTCAAAATCAAAGCCGGATTCTAATGCTGTGGTGGGACCTTTAGAGAGCTGTGCATAAATGAAAGCCTGCAAAATTTAATGAACTGATGTTGTAAAGAAGACCACAAGAATGTGAGAGACTGATGAAGACAATAATGTCAAGTTCTTGATACAAACGGTGTTCCTGGATTTTCGTTTTCACACATTGATTGTATTTCGGTTTATTTTTTGTTAATGACACAATGACAGGGTGTAAAGCTGTGTTTTGCAGTTCATCTGAGGTATTATTTACTTAAAACCTTAGGATTGAAAGAGCATGTGCATTTCTTTCTACCATGACTATATAGGATATGACTGCTTCACAGACTTGACACTAAAACTCTTGAGTCTTTCCAAATTAAAAGAAAATAATATTGTTTGTGAGAAAAAATCTTTCAAAAATAGGAATTTCTTTAGATTATATGAAAGGGTCTTGATAACACGTAGCCATCACATATATTTGCCTTGAACATTGACTAGTTTTTAACATTTTTTTTACTGTATCCACCAAATCAGAGTTAAGCTCTGCTTGGACAAGCACTCTGGATCTTTCAGATCCTCTATTTGTTTTCAGGCTTTATTTAATTCACTGCTGGCAGAAGACAAGATTCCCACCAAATTCTCTCCTGGCTTATTCTTTATTTATTTATTTATTTTTGTCTCCACTTCATTGAACTGTAACATATGACATTTTAGTGACTGCAGTTTTGAGGAATTTCTTCAGAGTTATGGGAAACCAGTTGTGATATAATGCTACGAATATGAAACTGTGTCATAAAGTTCATGACCAGGCTGAGATTTATCGCCAATAGCTGAAACATAAACCAGACCAATGTCTGATAAACCGTGACTGCTACAATGGCCTGTTGGTCTTGGATGATTTTGACTTTGTATATAGAGCTACACAGTTCTGGTAACTGTCTGCTGTTGAGTGTGATGGAGTGTAATCTTGGGTTATTGACACATTTGCTCACAGCCAAATTGTCAAAAAAAAAAAACAGATTTAGGGAAGCAGTGCTTAGATGCATTTAGACAATTAAAGCCATGCTAAAGACAGACTAAAACGAGGACTGCACAACTATGCAAACTATGCCGCTAATGGTCAAACTTTTCAGTCCTCTGCCCTACCCTCTGAGAGAGTGAATTATAAGTATCACATTCCCACCATCCAAGCCGTTCCACATCCTCTCTCCTGACATTCGCAACCCTTAGGGCTTGAGTGCCAAGCAGGTCAGTGTGTTTCAAATCACTCCCAGACGCCTCTTTCTCACAGTTGCAGATGAGAAACAGGAGGGGAGGGGGGACCTTGGCTTCTTAGAGCAACACAATGGCTGAGTAAACGTCCTTGTTTCCTACGATGGAAATTGATTTATTGGTATAAGCAGCAGCATTAACATGAGGTTAACACGTTAAATCAGTGACATCAAACATATACGAAATCCATTTTTCTACAGATTATTATGAATAGCTTTTGAGTAGTGGTAAAATAACACCGTGCAGATATAAACTGATCTATACATAAGTGTGCAAAACACTCCACCTAAAGAAGTGCTAGTATTTGCAGACACAGCACACACTCACACACGTGATAGTGCACATTCAAAGTCACACAGGTTTACGGGTATCTCTCATAGATGTAGAACATCAGAAAGGGGCTATTCTGTTCTGTCTCCTTCAATTCAAATTCAATTTAATAAAACTTTATTGATCCTGAAGGTTTGTGACTTCCCGTGAGTAAGACGGCAGAGAGTTTACAGCTTATTGCTCAGTCTTTGGGTCCTTCTAGATCAATGGTGTTCACACAT